ATCAAAAGGTTTATAGGGTGGACTGTTGTACGCTTAATATCTGTCTGCACATGCACAGAAATGGCATTCTCAAAAATCGGATTGAGAGAACTGAACTCTCAAACAGTGTGTGAATAAGTATTTAAAAAAATAACAGAGACCGGTAAGGATTTTGTACTGTTTATTCTGTCCTTTGTTACAGCCCCTATGAGAATCTTGTATTACCGGTACGTCCAAATAGCAACGCCCTAGGCAACCGAAATAAAACTTCTATTTCGGTTGCCATGCACATGGCTATTTATATAACTGTTTATTCTTTCCTTTTTACATCCCCTATGAGAGTCTTATATTACCGGTATGTCTAAATAGCAACCCGCATGTGTGCGTGGCTATTTAGATGCACCATGTGTCAAGCAAAATAATGATTTGTTCACAACCCAGATAATATTTTTAAGGTAATTACCGAGTTTTGAACAGATATCAGCAACTCAAGTATCGGCAAAATGGCCGTGTATCGGTCAATACCGATTTCTCCCGATAGGCCACTTATCGGCCAATTACCGATATTCAAACAAATTACCGGACCATCACTAATAATCATATTTTGCGGGAATTCTTACTTTGATTTCTCATTTTAAAATATATATTTACGTGTACTTTTTTTATATTTTATTTACAATACGTGGGGGATACACTGGATTTTTTTTTTTTTTTTCAAATTGAATACTGATATACTCAAATAACACACTATTTATGGATAACAATTACTGTGGTTTATTTCACTGCGACGTTTCAACAAGATTTCACAAGTCGTTATCAAGCATATAACACAAATAAATAAAATGAAAACAAAATAGCTATATATATATACACGAGCAGTGCGAACCCTCCAATGGGATGCAAAATCAGCAAGCATGAACAACTGTCCCAAGCCGTTAAATAAACAATGTACATAGATGGTTATAAACTGTAATTGGTATAGATAAGTGCAAGAATGAAGCCAAAGGATCAAACAATTATTAGCAGGTATAATGAGTCACGAGCAACTGGTCCTGACTGTAAAAACATATTAAATAAATCTATATACTGCATACTGCCTTCACTGTTAGGATTAACTGCTTATGGCTTCAGTTTCACCCCCCATAATACTTGTCCTTTCATCTTTTATTATTACTTTCATCTATAACTAATTACTGTATATATATATATATATATATATATATATATAGATTTATTTAATATGTTTTTACAGTCAGGACCAGTTTCCATAAGTATGTGTTTTGTTGTTACTCTATCCAGTTACTAAATGCCATTTAAAGAACATATCCGACATCAATATGGAGATGTGGCAGTATCATATATCAATACCGTTAATAGATTAGGAGGTAAATATGTTAAGTCCAAGTGCAATCTTACTTTTCTGATGCGATGCAGAGACAGCAACATCATCCCCAAAGGTCTGCGTCTCAAGCCCCCGGTCCAGTCAGCAGCAGCTAGCAGAATAATCGAACGAGCCAGTCAAAGCCTGATTAGAGAACGGATACAGTACCACAGAAACACCAAACATCGGCTTCACAACCAATATGAACAAAAACTGTCTCAACTTAGGGATCTGGTGTCCGAAGAAGACTACACACAACTCAGGTCCAAACAGCTGAAGTCACTAGACCACCTTAGAGAGACAACACGAACTAACCAGGTGAAGAAGTTTGAAAACCTTAAAATCACCAAACAGGTCCCCCCTACCACCAAGAATCCGAAAGAAGATTACCTTACAAAAACAGTTATCAACCTCAGTAGCCAGAACCTAACTGAGGACCAGATTTCACTCCTTTCCAGAGGTTTACAGTTTACGCCAACCAACCGGCCAGCCAACCAAGATCTGCTCATCGCCAATATTGAGAGAGGTCTGAGACAACTAGCCCCTGGTGGCAAGATTGATTTTATCCGACACCAGATAGCTGACCTTATCACCAAATCCAAGACGCAACGAGATGCCAACAATCTTAAGAAGTCCCATAAGATTGCCCTGCAGGATTTGAAGAAAGACAAAAACATTACCATAGTAGCAGCTGACAAAGGAAAATCTACAGTCATAATGGATAAGAACGACTACCAAAATACTGTTTCCCACCTTCTCAATGATCGCACTACCTATAGGAAGATTAGGAAAGACCCAACTAACACCTTCAATGACAGCCATACCGCACAACTAGTTAAGCTCAAAGACGAGAAGAGACTCACACCTTCCCTATTTTACAAACTTAAGCCGTCCCATCCTAGACCACCATATGCCAGAGCCACCATTAAAACACATAAGAACCCCATTAAAGCCAGACTGCTAGTATGCTCCAGAGATTCCGTATATTATAACACTGCACAGTACCTGTCGAACCTTCTTTCCCCATTAGGCAAGGAAGCTGCATCCTTTATCAAAGATTCTAAAGATTTCTGCGGAAAACTTAGAGACCTCCCTAAAGATACACTTATCCTATCGTACGATGTTATTGACCTCTTTACTAATATCCCCCGAGATGAAGCCTTAGCAGCACTACGATATAGACTCACTTCAATGGAGAACTCACTGGATACCAATCTCACCATAGAAGATATAGTCAACTTAACTAAATCCTGCATAGAATCCACTTATTTCTCTTGGGGGGACGATTACTACGAACAAATTCACGGTCTACCAATGGGCAGTCCCCTATCCCCAGTTCTAAGTGAAATCTATATGACCGATTTTGAAGAGAGGGCTCTTTCCACCTCACCCATCCAACCCACAATTTGGCTCCGTAAAGTTGATGATGTCTTTGTAATTCTCCGTCAGAACGAAGACCACACCGCCTTGCTCCATCACCTCAACAACCAAAATGGCAGAATTAAATTTATTATAGAAACAGAAGAAAACCAATGCCTCCCATTCCTGGATGTACTAGTTAAGAAAACAGAAGGTAGGCTCACAACAAGTGTTTATAGAAAACCAACACATACTGACCAGTACATTAACTTCTATTCCCACCACCCACACAGTGTTAAGAAAGCAACCATAGCAACTTTAGCCCGCCGTGCTGTCAACATCTGTGACAAAGAACATCTCCAAAAAGAATTAGACCACATTGAAGAAGCCCTTACAAACCTGAACAACTACCCTCTACAATTTGTTAAAAAGACCATTAAAACCACCATTGACATCCCTACAGATCCGGGAAAAACCAAACCAGAAAAACCACCTATAAGAATCACCATACCGTTTCAAGGGAAGCTCACTTACCACCTCAGGAGAATCCTCATCCCAATAGGTATCCAGGTCACCTTCTCCAAGGGCCGAACACTTAAAGATATCCTGAAAGCTAATGGTAAGCTACTCCCGAATAAACCCCCGCCCCAGAAAGAGTGTGTCTATAAAGTTGCCTGCTCTTGTCTTAGTACTTACATCGGTGAAACTAGACAACCCCTAGATAAAAGAATAAGCCAGCACAAGTCCAAATCGTCCATCACTAACTCAGCTGTTGCACAACATCTCCAGACCAACCCTGGACACAGAATTGAGTCATACGAAACCCTGGCATCTAATCTCCCAATAGAAAAGACACGGAAGATAATGGAGGCAATACAAATCAGAAGGAACAGCCCAGATCTTAACCGTGATACAGGGATATTTTTGCCCAATGCGTATGATCTAATTGTTTTAAGGTATGGTTTCCATTTTTGTTGTTAAGACATCCTCACTGGCCATGGACTATAAGTTAATTAACTCTCTATCTGCAATTGTATATCTTAATAAGTGTTGGTGTAGGCCTTTGATCATGTTGTTGCTATGTATGGTTTCGGTTATGTTGTTGTATTTTGTCTATATATATTTGCCTCATACCTGTTTTACTGTATTAGCTTGATAACGTTGAGAGAATACTCTACGAAACGTCGCCTTAAATACACTAGTAGCTGTTTTCCATAAGTATGTGTTTTGTTGTTACTCTATCCAGTTACTAAATGCCATTTAAAGAACAAATCCCCTGATAGAACACCGAATACACCGAGAAACAGTCATTTAATAATATATTTTCCTGTTAGAATTCCAATGACATGTGACATATCACTTGGAATTAAGTCAATAAACTAGTTCTAAATAGCACTTACCGTTTTAATTTTGTTATTATTTTATACACATTCTGACAAAGGCTTAATTTTAAAAATATTGTTTTTATTGAAGGCTATATCATAATCGTACGGAATTTTGATTTTAAAGCAATTTCAAGTATGGTTGTCACGTGACAATTGTGCTGTGTGTCTATCAATTGACGAATGAATAAAAACTTTTGCCAAGTTACGTGACTATAGTTACCTGATAGACAAAGACTACAAATTGTGTTACAAAGAAATGGTGCCGTATCAGCTTATAAGTTATTTTAGCTACGGCATTTTCTGATACTGGCAATAGTTGAAAAATGTTAATATTTTAGATCATCGACTTATGAAATGCGAACGTTTCATCGAATAAAAGAAGACAAGAATTATTTTATTCTGGAATATTACGGATTTGAACTTCCAAGATTTTACGTGAATTAAATATGTAAAATTTTCAAAAGGTGCATCTGTCGTTATTTTTGTAGTAATCACATACAATAAAATACGATATTCTCCACAACAAATTACCAAGAATTATTTTTGTTGACGTCTAGTTATATTAAAGGGAATGGAGCTTATAATTAACTCATATCCTATGGGTCCTCAATTGACCCAATTCCGGCCGGTTCGTTTCAAAATGGATTAAGAACCCTGATGCTTACCCATCTCATACATCTTGAAACAGAATGTAGTTTGAGATTATTTTGGGCATAATTTGTGATGTCATCATATGCGATACATATCGCGTATCGATTTGCCTTATCGTCAATACGTATCGTATCAAAAATGAACTGTATCGACACAGCCCTACTGGCAACCTATCTTTATACATGTATATGGTACCATAGAAGTAATTAATGCTATCTAATGATAAAAATTGTATATTTAAACAGATTACACATCATACAGTGATAGGTGAATGTTTAGATTTAGTTACATCACGACCACAAAGTACAGTAGATTTGTCTAGTTTTACTTTAGATAGATATAATACAATTGTAAGATGGAAGACGGCCTTTTACTCATTTTATTTACCAGTGGCGATGGGCATGTATATGGTAAGTACATGAAGAGGCTTTGATATACCGTAAAATTAAACTGGATAGAAGTTAAATTTGTATTGCTTTCATATCCACATTATTAGTGAATTAGATGGATTTTATAAACTTGAAATTGAACATAACTTCACTGACATATTCTGCTTCAGTACTTTATGAAATGTATTTATACTAGTGCTCCTATGGTTAGGACTTTTTGTTATTCGAATAGCTGTAGCTATTAACCGGTTAGTAACCGTTAACCGTATGGTATCAATTTTAAACATAAAACAGAGCTTGTCAGGAGGTGTGAGTCATTACTCGTGCGCACACTATACTCGCCTAGCTAAAAGGCATTACACGCGCAAAAATTTCAGGAATTTTTTCAGACATGTAAAATTCTTTAATGAGAAATTAAACTACCTTAGGCCGTAGTTATTTATCTACCTGGTTAACTTGGTTCATTTGAAACATTTTTTAATTCTATATAACGATAATATACAAAACAATACTCTGTTTCCCTTCGTACGTGACAGATGGCGATAATATTACGATTACACAATGTTACTAAGAATAGAATAAAGTAAATTGGAAGGCGTCTATTGATTGGACAATAAAGAAATAATTCCTCGCTTGCAAGTAGAATTTTTATGATTGGTTAATTTAACTAAAAACCAAAGTAGAATTCTTGCGAGAAATTACGAGATATGAAACGTGTTGAATGTCGTAACGAATCTAGTATAATGTCATTTTCTAGCCTTTATGATTATATTTTGAATGGTGGTTACGTTTTGAAGTAAATGATAAACAAGGTAGAATATAGTTAGAAATTCCGAGAAGTATTTAGATTAGATTAACAATAGCTAAAGTCAGAACAAGGTCCGTTGACTTTGCTGTATGACTACGACGAGTGCTATTAATAGTATTATTTTTTAGCAGTCGACATCGTAGGACGACTGTTACATTCTAAGATTTTCAAACATCAAATACAAAATGACAACGGGCAAGTTTTGTTATAAAGAGGAATATAATCAGACACATTTCTGTGTAATAACCGTACCGTTGAATTCGAACCGTTTAACCGTCCAGTTCTAACCGTTTACGGCTATCCGACTAGTCGTAGGAGCACTAATTTATACATCAGAATTTTATGTGGGGGTAAATAATATGACCCTGATTTATTAAGAGCAGTGGGTTAGCATGGGATTTATTTAAATGCAACGCAATTTCTGATAACAGAGTTTGATTAAAATAAAGGTTCGGTTATAGTGTGTTATTACAAGGAGTTAACCTAATATATAAATTATAAATGGTATTTCAGGCTGGTGTCAGTGATACAGATGCTCATTCTAAAGCTAAAAGTATTCTTCTCAAGATGGGTTATTTCTTCCAAGTACAGGTAAAATAGCGATGCCAAAAATAATTGCGGCTGGTAGTATTTCATATATAATTTTTACATTCCTATCCATATTTTCATTCAATACATGAGGTAACCATTACCTTTTCAACACTGTATGGCATATGAGTGTCTTCAATAGCCCAGTGGTTGCAAAAAAACTAGGATGTTAAACCCCATTTCAATATTGTAAAACCAATTTGTTATCTGTACATGCATTATGCAAGAGGTAAATCTGCCTATTGCAGGTATTTCTTTATGCCTGAAATGTTATATAAACTATTAATTAGACATTTATTAACATGAAAAGACCATAATCAACTCTCAATGCCAGCTTATGTGCCCGATTGTCTTTGAATTTGAATCCGATCTGCTGTTCAACGTCCGTTGATAATTAAACACTAAAATGGATAATAGAGACGTTGTTAACTATTGTGCCATCTGCAACAATGACAGTCGAGGCAATAGTGATTTTTAAAATAAGGTTTTCTCGTCTTAGAGTGAAGCAATTTAACTGAAATTTTCAGCATATTCCATTTGCATCATCTAGTTTTTAATTATTATAAGTGAGAACTGCCAGCTCTTTATCTAATCCTCGATAATGTATCTTGAAAAGAAAATTGGCATAAATAATTTAAATCAACAAATAGTATAAATGTATACATGTATATAAAAAATCAGATTGGTAAGAAAAAAATACATCTCCCAAAATGACCTGTATTTACATAAAAATACACATGATTTGGTTACAATTATCCACCCATATTGTATCATTTTTATGTCAAATTCTAGACAAGCTGCTTTGTGTAAAATACAGTAAACGACTATTTCTGTAAACATTGATTGTAGGATGATTATTTAGACTGTTTCGGATCACCAGAAGTTATTGGTAAAATAGGTACAGATATACAAGATAACAAATGTAGTTGGTTAATTGTACAAGCCATGATGAAAGTTACTCCAGAACAAAGGAAGATTTTAGAGGTATCTTATTCTTTCTTGTTATTGCAAAAATCAATATATCATTTCCTTCACAGGAGGAAGTAGTAAAAAGACTGGTGATTTGTATTTAAACTATGACTTTTAAAAAGGGTTAACTTATGGTTACCAAGCCTGGAAAAAACTTTCAAATGTGTGTCTGACACCATGTCAGACTGGATGAACATACTGTCTGACATTTCAAATTTTCGGTCGGACATAATATGCTGACATTTGGGTTGGCACAAAGTCATCAAGATGTAGTCTGTTGACTAATGGGACCGGGGGGAGTCGGGGGTGTTGTGACATCTTTTATATAAAGATTCAGATTGAAAACAAACAACAAAATGTCTTTTGCGATCCATTTATCTACCAGGGTAATTTTGCTTAGTTTTCGTTTGTTCGACCAAGTTGGTTTTGATTTGTTACGGATATAAAAATGTTACCCATTATAAGGGCTCGAAATGTCATGATACTTGGGGTAGATACATGTCTTTGTTGGTCGGTAATCACACACGAACACAATGTTTAATGAATGAATAATTAGGTCACGCTTCCTACAGTTTTAAAATACACACCAACTATTTGCTGTGTGATTAATAAATAAAGTATGATCGAAACTATGAGTTATAATATAAATACCTAATTTTATCGGCACCTATCATCCAATGATATAGCTTCACGTCTTTGACAACGTTGATCTAATGACGCGACAATTTCCCACCTTTTCTATAAAGGGGGGGCGGGGTCATCAAATGAGCACAAAACCAGAACCAACTTTTCTATTGAACCATATGTTAGTCCCAAAATGACCTAGTTTGTGTCGATGATGTTAAACCCCATTTCTCTCTCTCTCTCTCCCTCTCTCTCTCTCTCTCTCTCTCTCTCTCTCTCTCTCACACAATTAGTGTATAAGTATGGTATATCAAGGTTTTGGACCCCCTAGAGGTCACAATTTTAATTAAACTTTAAATTCATGTTTATATCCCAAAGATCTTGGTTCCTTTCAATAATCATGCATATTGGAATGTAAATTCCTGGATGATGGCCCCTGATTGTTCAAAATGTGGACATATCTTGCATGGCAACCGCAGCAAAACGCTTGTTAAAATCTTGTGGACCCTTTAATGGCTAAGGTTACTTTCCGATTGATTTTAAATCAATACAGTCGTTATGTTAATGACATGAAGCCTATGGATTTGTATAATATTTGTTAGCATCAGGAAGAACTAGAAGCCAATCCAATTTTAATTATTTCTGATAATTACTTAATGTATTATTGGGTTGTTACTCTTAATCAGGTTTTAGTGTCTTGTACATGCTCCCAGTGGCTACAAACATGTGATAACCCTTGTGGACTGGTAGGACAACTTATAGCTGCTGTTGGTGTATGTTTCATTATCCTGAAATATGGCAGTTTGGCGTTTTTTCCATATTTTTTCAGTAATCATAAAACGTGAAAAAATAATTTATTGTATTAAAATTGCATCATAGATAACTAAGATAAGTGTAAGGACATATAAACAGAAATGCAAAAACCTTAATGGTCATTATCATATTGCAAAAATAAAAAGAGATGTATCATATATAGTTATGACTGTATGTTGCATTTTTCTTTCTCTCATTTATAACTTCCATATGTAGTTAGATTTGATTGTGAATAGTTTTTCTGTTTATGTTTTTAAGGACAATTATGGAAGAGATGATGAATCCAAGATAGAAAGAGTAAAAGAATTATATTGTGATTTAAATTTAACACATGTTTATACAGAATATGAAGAAAGTAGTTATAAGGAACTTAAAACACTCATAGATAAATGTAGTGGCAATTTACCTAAAGAAGTCTTCATGGCTTTTGCAAGAAAGATATATAAGAGGCAGAAATAGTTTGTGGAAGTTTTGTAACAGTTACTGGGTTTTTTTTGGTTACCGGTACGAATATTAGTCTGGATGTGTTGTCAACATTTGAGAATAATAGGTCATTGGCTAGATTATCTGATCTTTTACATTATCATAAACAAAGTCTAAGGGAGATATAACTAGTCCTAAAACAAGATGTTGACACCCATGAAATTAATTCAAGAATGTCATTTCAAAAAACCCATTTGATTGCATGCCAGTTCAATATCCAACACTCTTATTTTTTTTTGTTGTTGTAAAATTGCTCTCTTCATGGGCCATATCTATGTTATTCAAATTAATCCGAATTTGTCGTCACGATTCATGTTTGTTTATATTAATGCAAGAATTATGGAATTTGCCCAGAAGATACTGGATAATCAACCACATTAAAAACCAAACTCCCGGTTATGCATGAGCAATGGATTTTTGGTCAAATATTGACAACAGTCCCAGATCCTCCATACGTTGAAGACTAGGAGGTTCTGGGTGACCGGGACTAGTTACTGGTATGTTGAAAATGTTAAGGGTGACCCACAGCATGTTGTCAATCGGATCAAAACGGTGTTTATGAGAAAAGAACCATAACTCGTTTTACCAGAAAATTAAAAGCACATGTCCAGATGGTAATATCTTCAAAAATCAAACATGGCTAGACTTTCAATGTTGACGAATGAGGTTTTTATGGTAAGCCTCATCATATAATGTTAAAATAAACCCCAAATATTGTCTGTAGGATGAAATTTCTTCTGACCCCGAACCACTCTAAAAATGTGTTAAAGACTGAAACAACCGATGAAATTATTCCTCTGTATTTATTGTTAACAATTTATGATGTCAGGAACTGAAGTGATATTAATGTATGTGTTTATCTTAGTGTGTTAAGATCATAAAATTAACATTGATGTTTAAAACAAAAACCATATGTATCATTTATAAAGGGAAAGAAACAGCTTTAAACCTAGTCAACTTATCACAATTTCCATGCAAAATATATATGGTATTTTTATACATCCAAATTTTTATGAGAACGTAAATTGTCGTTGCCCGTCTATTCATCCGTCCACAATTAGTATGTGGACAGTCTACAGCCCACAATTTTTATCTGATTTTGCCAAAACTTGAAATATAGGATTATATCTCCCATAGATCTCGGTTCCTTTTGATATTGGCATTATTGGACATTAAATTCATGGATTATGGCCTCTGATTGTACGAAAAATCACATTTTTGGATTGTGGACACTCTAGAGGTCACAATTTTGATCTGATTTTGATGAGACTCAAAACATGTGTTTATATCACAGAGATCTCGGTTCATTTCGAATTTCGTAAAAATCGGACCGAAACTGCCCAACATAATGGCCCCTCCATGAACTCAAACAGTGTAAAAGTATGCAATAGGCCTACCAAGGTTGTGGACCCTCAAGAGGTCACAATTTTTATCCGATTTTGATGAAACTTAAAATATATGTTTATATCCCAAAGATCTTGGTTCCTTTCGATATTCGCACACATCAGACCATAGATTATGGCCACTGATTGTACATTAGAATTGTATTAAGCAGCCACTCAAGGGAATTTTCATGACTGGTCGCTTAATGCGAGTGACCTCATGATAAAATCTCAGTGTTTATTGGTGCTGACATCAAGTAAATTTTACGCTTGGATGCATTGGGAGCAAACATCAATACTTGCATGGGTAAATTTGGCCATCGCTGAAACTGGCTTGGGTCGGGATGAAAATTATTTGACTCAGATCTCCCGTGTCTACCATGGTGATGTTTTTGATAATATTTATCCATTTTTGTGACAAAAAACCATGAATTAATTTTATTTTACCAAAAAAGAACATATCCAAAAAAACATCGCTGAATTTGTCACCAATTTTCACTAAGTGGAATCTCTCACCCATATTCCAGCATCTGGATTCGAAATGAAGTTAGCACACATATTCCTAGCATGTGTGCTAACTTCATTTCAAATCCGGGTGCTGGAATACGGCTATGAGATTCCGCTCGGTCCGATTTTCATGGGGTGGAGTGTAACTCTGTATGTAATATAGGAGGCACTAAAACTTATGTTTAACAACAAAGTAGCAATGGAAAATAGATACTAAATGGTCCGATTTTCATGGGGTGGAGTGTAACTCTGTATGTAATATAGGAGGCACTAAAACTTATGTTTAGCAACAAAGTAGCAATGGAAAATAGATACTAAATGATCGTGACAACTCGGCTTTGACGGTTCTTTTAGTTTATTCAATCAGTATAAAATAAAGTTTCGTTACGCTTGAAAGCAATGAACAGGGTTTGTCAGCTATTAAGATTAATTAAAAGATAATCCCGGTGTGACAGTTTGAGATGGTTCCTGGTGTGTGTGTGTTTGCTCCTGGGCACTTGCGCATGTCCGAGACTGTTGTTTATGTTAACAACGCAGCTATATCTACTTCCGCCATTGTGAAATGGTTCCTGATCATTGATGTGACAGTGTGAGATGGTTCCTGGTGTGTGATTACCGTTTAGCGCATGCGTAGTTGTAGGAGTCAGCTCGCACCGTTATCGACACGGTGTGCATTGAAGCCCCCCCCCCCCCCCCCCCCGATAGGATTTCCCCAAAGATTTTCTTATGGTTAAATAGGTTTCTACACTATTATCTACCAATATTAAATTTTACAGTATTTTTATATCAGTAAAGGGTGTCGAGTTTCTATAGTTTGTTTATTTCAATAAAAAGTAGAAATACAAATTGACTAAAACCCCGTTTACATTACATATTATAAGCGTACCAGGCACGGCACGCTTCGCTTTTTTGTAGTGTAAATAGATCAAAAGTAAACGTGCCGCGCCTGGTACGGTGCCAATCTGGCCCACTGAAGTGAGGTGGTCTCGGAACGGTTCGCTTTAAATTTGTAGAAATACAAATTGACTAAAACCCCGTTTACATTACATATTTTAAGCGTACCAGGCACGGCACGCTTCGCTTTTTTGTAGTGTAAATGGATCAAAAGTAAACGTGCCGCGCCTGGTACGGTGCCAATCTGGCCCACTGAAGTGAGGTGGTCTCGGAACGGTTCGCTTTAAATTGTCGTAGTGTAAACGCTAACCGGTCTGAGCACGGATTACTGCACATTCGCCAAATGAACCTTGACCTTTTTTTCCCGAAAAACTTTGACAGCTCTGTCATCAGTACTGTCAAAATGGCTGGTCAAACTAAATCAACCATCATAATTGTTTTCATCTGGGTAATTTGTATAGGGACTGAAATTAACTTTTCTGTGAAGAGTTCCACATTTTGCGTGCTTGGCACGGTTCTGAGACCGGTTATTTTCGAGTAATGTAAACGGGTCAATTTCTTGAAATTTATCGCGGCCTGGTACTGTGCCCAGAACGGCACGCTTATCTCGGCCATGTGTAAACGGGGCTTAAGGTGCGGATTCACCAATAAAGTGAGCCGTAGCAATTCGCGTTGATGGAAAATCTGTGGTAGCGTGACGTCAAAGCGATATTTTCCCGCAAGCGTCTCCTGTACATAAACGTTAAATTCGCTAACATTTCGATAATTTTTGAGTCTGAATCTTTGCAGATATTGAGATTGATATTAAACTATTACAACACAATTGCTAGTAATACATTTAAATAAAATAGTAATTCAGAATCGTAGATTGAAGCGGGCTTTATTTCAGCCGCTGGCCGTCAGATTTCACACTAAAGTCACGTGACCTAAAACCCCTAATATGAGTAATAAAACAGATAGGCTATATTGTGAAGTACAAATTTTAATAAGAAGTACAAATTAAAATAACAATGATACAGAGAAATCCCAATCATATAAAGGCCAATATTGAATGTACAAAATGTAACTACTAATCACTAAAACAAAAACAAAAAAACAACGGCAACAAATCACAGACAATGGAACTATCAATTTCAAGCCGATCAACTTAGATCCGTTGATCATAACTACTGATCACTAAAACAAGATCTAATTACGATAACAAGTATGTTTATTAATGACAAAACTCTAATCAAATACGTAATATTGTGAGCACTTACAAGGAGATGTTGCTGAATAGGAGTGGCTGCTCGTACAGATTCTACTGTATCACCGTTGTACGCAAATAGTGTATAAGTATGTAATATGGTGACACCTCACTTTCCCCACCTCAATTGTATTAGAGTCTGGGTCAACCAGGCCATGACTAATTAATCGACAAAGGGGTTTAAAGTATAGTCTGGGTCAACCAGGCCATGACTAATTAATCGACAAAGGGGTTTAAAGTATAGTCTGTAACAAGTTTGTGACACTTCAACAAAATGATTTAAATAATATTAGTGAAAAAGATTACATGTAAAAAAAAAATGCATATAATATGTATATGATAATATTACGTCTAGACTTAACTCTGAATTTAACACCATCTAGCACTAAATTCTGACCACCTTTAGTATTAGCAATGTATCTAAAGTTAACCAGAGCGTTCGCCATTTTTGAATGACCATTTGTTGTTGTTGTTTATTACAGATTTAACGTCCAATACAGTGAATATGATATTATGGACAGGTTGATTTAATTAAGTTATTTACACTTGAAAATTGTTTAAAACACAAAATAAAAAGGTCCTCGGATACCAAAAGTTCCTTGAAGCACACTTATAAATTCGCTGTCGTGAGAAGAGAGGGCGGGTCATCTTCTCCCTTTGTCATAATAAAGTTAAAACAGGAGGTCCAACTGACTGATGTTTGGCATCATCAGAGCGGATAGAAAAAAACCTGTGGGTAAAAAGAATCCGTTGGCTTTATGTGGAAAAGCGAAATGCTCGCAGTAAAACCCACATAGCTGGGCCCGTAGATTATTTACATATTAAAAGTGTTCGTCCGATAAGTTCCATGTTGTTAAAAATTAACTAGGGTTCAAAGTTTAAAAGTTGTAGGCATTCCATTAGAGTTTTCCTTGCGTACGGCTCTCCACAGATAAAAAGTTACCTGAAAAGAAAAAAAAGAACCAGCAACAACAAAGACAAATTGAACCATTCATAGGAATAAATAAAATTTTAAACACAGGTTAAATTAAATTGATTGATGTGCACTGTCATTGTTAGTGTTAATAATAGTTGTGTAGGTCCCTATTCCTTTATTTTGTCATTATTTTTCCTTAGTATATTATTATATTAAATCATGCAGCAGGCTGAACCGCCATGCTGTCCTACAACAATAGTTTCTTTCTTTGTAACTAGATATGTAGTTTCCTATCTTAACTTTAATTTATTCTGATATTATTAAAGCATCCGGGTGACTTAGGGGCCAACCTGGACTACACAACCAGTTATCTTTCTTTGACTAGTGCTCTTTTAACGTAACTAACTTAACAGTTAATTCCCAATTGTGCTATGAATTTTGAGATAGCTTCATAAATTTTATGACATATTCCGAGGGCTAAAGAGTGCATTTTGGAGGGTATATTGAAGTTTGGCATTTTCCATTAAACTTTGTACAGGGAGTCTTTTCTTTTCCAATTTATTGCACGCAATGATGACATGACTAACGGTCAAATTGTGGCCACATTCGCACTTCACTGTGTTAAATTTATGGTCGGTAATTAAATCCTTAGTTCTTAATCTTGTGATTATCCCACAAATTTTTGCGATGGGTGATTAATCTCCGTCTTTACAACCAGATCGTTGTTTAAATTAAATCTAAAAGTATTTGCTCTGGCCAACTCAATTTTCCATTTTGATTTAATTTTAGTTTTGACGATGCTATTAAATTCTTGTACGCTATATTTTAAGTATTCGTATTCAGTCTCGCAGAGGCTGGGTCCTTTGCGAACCAGATTGTCTGCGGACTCATTGTCTGCTATGCCAACATGGGATGGTATCCATGTAAATTCTACGGTTTTATTTTTGTTTCGGAGGGAATATTCTGAACAAGTTATGGTCTAGGTGTTTTTTTGTCGTGTATTATTGTCTTTATGCTTCTAAGAGAGTCTGACACAACGACTGCTCTTTGAACCGGTGGATGACACGAGCCACTCAAGAGCTGTGGATATTACTTTTAGTTCTGCTGTATAGATAGAGCATCCATCAGGTAGCCTTTTCCATATATTAGTATTAAATTCGGGAATGACTACACCTAATGCAGTTTTGGTAGTGTTTGGATCGTGAGACTCGTCCGTGTATATTTTCACATGCGATAACCATCTTTCGTTCAAGAATTCCCTCGATAGCATTAGAGCGTGTTGTGGATTTTCTTTTTTCTTTATAACGTTACCTAGGCTTATGTCATAGTTTGGATTTTAAGAAGTCCATGGGGCTTGATACGAAAATACTCGGTCAGTAATCTGATAGTGATCTAATCTTAGATCTTTTAATAGATCATTTGCTCTGTGACCGAACGGCTAAGTGTCTGATTTGACATTTCTTTTGAATTATGTCCTTGATGTTTTTGTACACTTAAATGTTGGATAGCTGTCTCCAAGATGCTGTAACTTGGCCCAATATCTCAATGTCAGTTCGCTTCGACTCAATTCGAATGACATTTCACCTACTTCCTGCAAAAGACTTTCCCTTTTTGTGCCAAATGAAGCTTTTGTTGCTATCTTTATTGCCTGATATTGTAAACTATCTAGTTTAGCAACAGCTGTTTCATTTGCACTTGCAAAAGCGACACAAACATAGTCACATATTGATCTTATCATGGACCTATATATCATTAGAAGGGTCGTTTTATTTGCTCCCCATGATATGCCTGTCAGGCATCTCATTACGTTCAGAAAATTCTGTCCTCGTTTAACAATATTTTCAATATGTGGTATAGAATTCATTTTGCGATTAAGGGTCACCCCAAGAAGCTTTGCCCGATCTTTAAATTCAATTCGGCTATTGTTCAATTCCAGTTTCATAGATGACACTTCCCTATGAGCCCTACAGAAGAGCATGCCTACTGTTTTACTTTCAGATATACAAATTGCTCTAACGCCAAAAGTTATCATCCAATTGTTTTAAAATTGATATATGTTGTTTACATTAGTGAGATGAAGAAGCCTATTTAATTTAATAATTTCTGTTTATTATGTCTAGAGTTATGGCCCGTGTTTCACTTTATTGAACCTTGTGAACGCTCTAACGTCAAAAGTTATCATCCGATCTTTCTGAAATTTATTTGCATTATTTAGATTACTGAAACGAAGAAGCCTATTGAATTTCAGCAATTTCCGTTAATTACGTCTAGAGTTATGGCCCTTGTTTCACTTTATTGATCCTTGTGAACGCTCTAACGTCAAAAGTTATCATTCGATCTTTCTGAAAATTATATGCATTATTTGAATTAGTGAAACGAAAAAGCCTATTGAATTTCAGCAATTTCCGTTAATTACGTCTAGAGTTATGGCCCTTGTTTTACTTTATTGAACCTTGTGAACGCTCAAACACCAAAAATTATCACCCAATCTTTGTGAAATGTATATGCATTATTTAGATTAGTGAAACGAAGAAGCCTATTGAATTTCAGCAATTTTCGTTTATTACGTCTAGAGTTATGGCCCTTGTTTCACTTTATTGATCCTTGTGAATGCTCGATTGAT